CCCCAAAACCCCAAAACCCCAAAACCCCATTAGACATCTTTAAATTTCAAATATTAGAATTATTAGTAATCCTTAAATAGATTTACAAGTTCTATATTCAAAGGTCAGTCAAAACTTTATATGGGTTCATGATACCGTGTGGATCGAAAGCATTTTTTATCATTTTCATATACTAGATTTGCTCTTTTTGTTTTGATTATGGCAAGTAGTTTACTTTTTGCAAGCCAATGCCGTGCTCTGCACTGATACTTCCTTTCTTGTCATTAATGTAGTCAAATACGAATGGCTCCAATTATTTTTGAAGTTCTTTTAACAGCTCTTTGTTATCAAACCCTTTAATGGTGCAATTTAAGTGCAAATTCCCATCGCCAATATGACCATGTCCTATCATAATTGCTTTACTACCAATGAGATCTTGAGTCTTATCAATTATATCAGCAAAGTCCTAAGATTGAAGACTGACATCAAACTTTACGGTCTATTGATAATTTTAATGATTAAAATTATTTGCTTACGAATCCATTGTTTGCTGTTGCCATAGAAATCCCTTCTCTGATTTTCCAAACAGTCTCTATTTATGATTCACTTTCACATAATGCAGCATCTTGATACATATTTTATTCACCCATCATTTCAAGCATTTCGAGAAATTATTAATTTAGTTAATCTTAGCATGAATTAGAAGAGGCTTCGATAAGAAGATAGTACTTATAATTTCTCTCTCTGATTGGATTCTCAATCTTAAAGTAATCGAGAGAGAACTTAACAGATTCGTAGTCCATAAATTCAATAGCACTTAAGGTATCATTTAATTCCCTCTTTGCATGTCTTAAACATGCCAGTATTTATTCAAAGTCATCTGAGGCTATCAGACTCACTTATCGAGATGTAGGTAGAGGATGACACAGGATTTAGCACTTTGTAATTATACCCTAAAATTTATTTAATGATTTGAAAACTCAATGATATTAAGGTAAATTATAAGGAATATTATATACTACTTACCAATGTTCCTTCACCACCAATAAACATATGATTAAGATCAAAACCTTTTTAAGATCCTCTTAGACCCTGAGTACTATCAAGAAGCGTACCATTAGGTAATACAGCATTTAATCCAACAGTGTTACCGTGCATTGATCCATATTTTATGAATTTTATTCCACCAGCATTTGTTGATAAATTTCCTCCTATCATGCAAGATCCTTTGGCGCCCAAATCAAGAGGCATCATGTAACCAAAAGATTTGACATGGTTTTAAAGAACCTCAAGGATGCAGCCTGATTCGCAGGTTAAGATGCCAGTAATCGGATCGAAGTCGATTATTTTATTAAGCTTTTTTGTACTGATTACGATTTCATCTTGTAATGGAACTGATCCTCCGACAAGCCCAGTGTTTCCTCCCTGAGGAACAACAGCAAGTTTTTTCTCATTGCAATACTTAAGAATCTCTTGAATTTATTTCTCATTTTAAGGGGTTAATACCAATGAGCATTAACCAACGTATTTTTTGGTAAAGTCGATATTATAGGGCTTGATTTCGTCATGTTCTTAAATAATATTCTCAGGGCCAAGGACACCGGAAAAGAATTCTATATCAATCGCTTTTAATTTTGAGTACTTTGATTTAATAGCAATTTACTAAGTGGCTAACGATGTCTGAGATTTCGCCTTTGCAATCAATTGATTGAACTGATTTTGTTTTCTTTCGAGGAGGTTTAGTTTTTGAGGTTTTATTGTGTGTTTGAATTTGCTAATAACAACCTCTTTCAAATAGTTCTAATCCATTAGTTCTAGCTGATCAACTCTTGCTTTCAAACCTTATTAGAGATTTAATTGAGCTAGAGCAGAAGATTAAGCTTGCCGACGTAAATTTATTAGTTTATTAATGGACTTAGGATATCTCTGAAGATTATTTCTGAGTAAGTTTGCTTATAGTTTCTATGTATAGTTCATTAGATTACTTAAATTTCTATTATACGTGACGTAATCTTAAATATATTATCATTAAATCCGAATAAACTAAATTTTATTGGATTATTTCTCAATCTTTTTGATATATCCATTTGAGGGGTTTTGGGGTTTTGGGGTTTTGGGG